GGCATGACTGGTGACATGTCCGGGGTCTGTACTCCACAGCGAAAAGCTGTGGCATATATAATTGTCATTAAATATTTATGTTACAAGAGCATAGCCCTTTGGCATGTATCAATATAAATCTTAATATTAATAACTGAAATAAAACATGTTTTGGACAAATATTTTAAATGTGTATCCTCTCTCTTTAAAAATTATTTTTGATTACTTTGAATTTTATTTATTTAAACCAATTTTGCATTCGGGTGTATATTGCCACGTCTTTGCGGTGCTCTTGTTTAGAACATGAACGGTCCTGTGTCTGGAATCCCTAATTTCGGTGCTTGAAGGGCAGATTAAACATACATGCATCAGAAAATTAAGCGAATATGTGGTCACATGGAAAAGCCTTATCCAGGGCCGCGCAACCACAAACGATGAAAGAACGTCAGCACAAATGTCGCCTTCAGAACGGGGCATTTGCTTCATCCACTTGTCACATTCGTTGTCATTTGTGCTGTGTATACATTTCTTCCCTTCTCTTGCGATTTATCATGTAAAATAAATAGGTCTTATGCCAGCGCTCATGATTCTTTTGTAAATATGCCAATTGTTAAACAACAACAACACGTTCTTTTTATTTTTGTAGAAAATTACGGTTATTTGACGGCATCTTACACAGGAAGCGTAAGTAATGAGCCGAAGCCGGACTATCTCGACTTCAACCAGAATGACGATTATCTACAACCTAGTTCTATTGACAGTGGCTCGGGTTTTGGGTCTATAAATCCTTCATTCGCTCATGACCGTAGCTATCACAGCCGTGTTGACCACAACAGCGGTACAAATCATTACAGGAACAGCGGAAGCAGCTCAGGCGGACGGATTTCTTTAAACAGAGACCCATTATCGGCGAGATACAGTCAAAATGTTGAATGACTACTTGACGGCATTTTTATTGTCTAACATAATTAATAAGATTTCTAATCAAATAAATATATATTCACGATTTGGTTGTATTTGCTGTTTACATGTAAAAGTTAGTTCTGATCATTTGCTATTTTAACGATATGAACATCCAGCACAGACGCAGTCCAGAATTTTAGCAACACTAAATTCAATATCCAACAGCATGTGCACCTTGGTCGACATATATTACTCACTCAATATATCTTTAAGAGAACGATAATTATTTTTTTTAAATCTTTATAATTTTTCTAAGCTGTTTCATACTTCATATAAACTGGTGGACTTTTTCAATCTGAACATGGGTGTAATTATTACTTTATTAGACATGTTTACTGATGACATCACAAGCACCTGCCACCAGAATTTAGCAGAATTAGTAAATCATAGGCACTTGGGTTTCGAGATAAAATCCCATTTAAGAGGTTTGTAAAACTCTTGTTTGATTGCATGTAATGATTTGTAACGTAGATGTCTCGATTCCAAAACCGTCATTTTTTGGATGTTACTTAAAAATATTTTTAAATAATATTGGAAAAAATGACGGTTTTTGGAACCAAATCGTTGCATTCAATCAAATTTCAGTTCTTCAAACCTGTTAAAAAGATCCTATACGAAGAGAATAATTTCGTTTAGGATAATTAGAGACGTGACCAGTCCACTATTAGATGTAAAACATTTATCGTATTGTATTTCCTATCTTGAGGCATGCAAGCTGGCAATATAAATTAGAATATCGACAACTCATTTCACGTTTCACTTTCTTTCTTTCTTTATTTCATAACAATTATGTTTATTTCATTACAACATTGTAAAACCAGAAAACATCAACTTCATTCCGATGATTCCGAGCCTGCCAAAAGGTCTTCACTCTCTCCACCGTGTCGGTTTACTCGTCACTAGAGTGCCATTCAATCCATTCTACTTCCACATCAACTGCGATGTCTAGCTCCCAGTACTGGTTTTTTCTAATTTTTTTTGAACACGTGAAATACAGTTCTGCCAAAAGACAAACGTGATGGATAATAAGACCTCTTCTGTTTTCTGAAGAGGTGTCGTCATGCTGAACGTTGTATTTTGTCGCACAACAGAATCCTTCACACCTGCCCACACAAAATTCCCGTATTTCAGAAATCATATTGTTTCCCAATACGTTCATGCACGTATAAGATACGTGAAAACAAACATTATAAATGCTTGTCCAGTGCGCGCGTGCATGATTACAAACTAAGAATTCTCGAATCAGAAATACTCGATAATCAACTTATTATTGTGTCATGGTAAGCACAAATTAAGAGAACCCCAGACAAACTCAGACAAAACCAAGTCAAATTTGACCAAGGAAAATCACTATGTGGAGCACGAAACAAAACAAGGACAAAAAAAAACAACAGAAAAACAAAACAAACAAAAAACAACAACAAGAAAGCAAGAATAATATCTGTCTCATTAACAAAACAGTATAATAAATTTTAAATCTTTATGTTGTCTCTCTTCGTAAGAACTATTTAATTTTACTTCTGAGAAAAAAATCCGCTCTTATAGCAGACGAACATTTTTGGTAATGCAGGTGTTTTTAACGCTTGTATCATACGGAAAATGTTTATGGACGACAAAAATATAAATATCAGGTTACAATAAAACTGCATGGTATCTTCTCAATGTTGTATGAATAAGACCTATGGTCTATTCCAGATCATTCAAGCGCTGGACACAGGACTTGCAACCTCAAGATCTCAAAATTGCACACACTCTGCATGCCGCGCTAAAATTCAAACAGGTCCCATGCAATTATCAGACAAACAGAATCTATGATTTCATTTATAAACATTCTTAGATCTTACTACCGTGAACCGCAATACCATGTTTTTATTGCAAATTAAATGAAATATTTACAAATCTTCTTAAAATCGTAATGTAAAAAGATTCTTAATTAGTTGATTTTCCAAAGCGTAAAATATATTTTGAGACAATTGCTCTTGAATGCTTGATTTGTTTAAAGCTGTATGATTAAAATGCCAACATTTTTCAAGAAAATCAAAGGAAAAGATATATTTTCAATTCAATTTGTACTCAATGATAATGTATTTAACGTGCTGCTATATGTGTCCTACATTAGGACCTGTAATAACGACTAACGGATTATAACGGTTAGCGGTTTTCAAGTTGTATAAATTTGCTGTCGGCTTAGTATGCAATCTGCGTTTGTGAGGATGTACTTATTGTTAATTATGCTAATTTAAAAAAGAAGATATTTCAAACCATTTTAACCCTGATACTGATGAATAATCGTCGCATACTTTAATTGTCATCTGGTTTGCGGTAAACTTCTATCAATTTTATTAGTAAAAGATACTACCGGGGTATATTTTTCACAGGTCGTTTCATGCTGATGCACTCCGTTTTGCGTATTACATTTTTTTGCAAGCAAACAGTTTAATTGCTTGTAATTACTATATAGTTTTGCGGTGACGGCGATTAACAAATGTGAATGTGTCCATGCAAAAATAATAAGTAGAGTAATATGACTTATACTTTGGTAAGACGAGTCGAACAATTTAAATCACGTTTTGTTCAAAGAATGCCGCAGAAATAATGTCCGAAGAAAAAAAAACATGCCAAAATTTGGAAAAAACGAAGAATTTGAGGCCGCAGAAAAAAACACTTATACGGTATATACAGTGTTCATCATGTTTAACTTAAATCAAAATATGCAAAATTAGTCCGTACTGCATAAGTCACGTAGTAGAAATATTGTGATAAGTACAAGGAAATTTAGTATTTAATCTCCTGTAACATGTAAATTATGACTTAGATGTTGAAAAGTGTTTCTTTTATTAAAATCTTCATAATTTTTTCTTGAAATATTTTGCATTTTAAGCAGCAACTTTAAACATGTCACACATTCGTGAGTAAATTTCCGGAATATGCCCCTATATGACGGCTGTGTCAAGAAATCAATTAAAAGTATATCATTTTTTACAAAGATTTATAACCTTTCATTTAAAAGAGGAAAAACATCAAAAGACTTTGCAATCCGATTAATACACTCCCATGTTCAAATCAAATAGCCTCGTGTTCGATGCTCTTTCTATAACATATTTCACCAACATTTCTAATAGTAAAATGATGTTTAAAATGCGTGCAAAGAAAGATAACTACAATCCCGATTTTATTTAATAAAATATAAACTTGTTATAAAAATACGGTTTATGATATTTTGATATGTAATTACACAGGTGCTTGTTTATAACATATATATTTCTTATTTAAGTAAATTGAAAACGCGTTTCTCTAAATGGAAATGAAATTGGTTGATGTTACTGATGCATCATTAAATTAAAAACGTATACTGGAACATGTCCGTATTTTAGAAAGCATATAGTTTCCCATACGTTCATGCACGTATAAGACACATATAGCCGTGAAAACAAACATTTTTATTAAGAATGCATGTCCAGACGTAAAAAAGTACAATATACACACAGCAGCACACAAGAAGATACGAGCTTTGATAAAAGTGTCCATCCGTCCATACGTGCATGATAACAAACTAAGAATTCTCGAATCAGAAATACTCAACTTATGATAGTGTCATGGAAGGCACAACATAAGAAAACATGAAGATAAACTCCGACAAAATCAAGTCAAATTTGACCATCAAAGATTAATACGTGGAGCACAAAACAAATCAAGGACAAACACGCATGCGCACATACATGCACGCACGTTCGAACACACACAAGATTAATATTTCAGTATATTATATGTATTTTTAACAAAATAGTGTAATAAATATATATGTCGGCTCGCTTTTTACGAATTATTTAGATAAACGTGTAAGAAAAAAATAATACGCTCCCATAGCAGACGAAAATTATTTGTAATGCAGGTGTTTTTGACGGCTTGTATCAATCTTACTAGGTTTATTAAATCTCGACGAGGAAGAAAAAATATCAGATTACAATTAATTTAACTGACAAATAACAAAACAGAAGAGCTATAGAAATGATAAAAGCTTGCTACGTATTTGAAAGTGTTTATTCACGCTGTTCTACAAAAAAATGAAACTTCGACAAGAGCAATAGCGACTTTTTTTTTGGCATGTTTTATTTGGCTTCACTAATAATCACTTTATTGCGTCATTTAGTTTACGAAAGGGATTCTATGAATCACTATTAAAAAGGGGAGAAGATGACTATTAACGGAATTTGAGAGTGTCGAATTTTGTTTTTCTAAGAAAATAATTACACAGATTATTCTTAAAGAAATACAGCGATTTCATTGGCTGAAAAATAAACATGATAAATCCTGGACACTTAACTACAAATGTAAAATGAATATCGCGATTTGAATTTTTAGATTAAATAAACCTATCTTTGTGAATAAGGATTTTTGTGCGTATATATATTTAAAGGTAGGAATTTGATAATTATATAGCATCTATGTTTATATTGATATTGTACATTAATTTAGTAAAACTTTTTTTTTGAAAATTTTGTCGTCGGAAAATATAACTCAGGCCTAAATCATTCTAGATTTTAAGTTTTAACGGAGTCTTTAAAAGCAGAAATTATTTGAGATTAAAAGTTTACTAAACGATAAAATTGTTAAAAGTTATGCTTTATTATGCTAAAACAAACAAAGAAAATCTACACGAATGATTATATAAATGTGGTACATTTTAGTAACAAATAATTGAAAAGGGATAAGTTCCGTATTTCTTCTGTCAAAATATTGACGGAAGAATAACATTTATTACATATTTCCATTAAAGGCTGAAACGAAATGTGAAATATATTTTCCAAATTTAAACAGGGACTTACTATGTAGCTTAAAATAATGTTTTAAATGAATTCGCAAATAAAACTGCATGGTTTCTTCTCAATCCGTATATGTTGTATGAATAAGACCTATGGTCTGTTCCAGATCATTCATGCTCTGGACACAGGACTTGCAACCTAAAGATCTCAAAATTGTACACACTCTGCATGCCGTGCTAAAATTCAAACAGGTCGCGTTTCATTAGCTGAAGTGCGTTTTGAACTCATTTACATAAGCAAATGTAAAAATCAGACAAACAAAATCTATGATTTCATTTCTAAACATTCTTAGATCTTACTCACGCGAACCGCCATACCATGTTTTTGATGCAAATATTTAATACAAATCTTCTTAAAATCGTAATGTAAAAAGATTCTTAACTGATTGTTTTTCACAAGCGTGATATATTTTCGGAAATTTGCTCTTGATTGCTTCATATGTTTAAAGCTGTATGATTAAAATGCCAACATATTTCAAGAAAATCAAAGGAAAAGATATATTTTCAAGTAAATTTTTACATAATGATCATGTTTTTCTTGATATATTCTTAACGATTTTGGTAATGTATTCAAAAACACTTTATATATTCTCGAACGCTAATGTCATGACTAGGTGTTCTCAGTCATTATTTTCTCGAATATTGCAGTTGATTCGTTTCATCGAAACATTTATATATTCAATTTAGTTCAGAACCTCACTTTACAGCATGCAATGAAAACAGACGACATTAACTTAATTTATAATAATTGTTAACGAAAAGCTATTCTTAGTGTATTTTGTGCCATAAAAAGTCAAACATAGCAGACGAAAACAAATGTTCAAAATGAACACACAATTTGTTGATTTGAGCTCATCTTTCTTTGTCCATTTAAGTACAAACTTTTAAATTATTTTTCAAATAAACCTTACCAATAAAGTTAAATGAAGATATTCGATAAATGGTTAATGCAAAATAGTAATCGTGACACTTAAACGACATTTCTTTTTATTTTTCTGATGACACTAAATTACTATACTGGCCATAGCTTTCTCAGAAGTGGCGGATGAAAAAAATGTCAATGTTTATTTGAGCTCATCTTTCTTTGTCTATTAAAGTACAAAACTTTTTAAAATAAGATTCAAATAAACTTAACCATTAAGTCACATATTCGACATACTCCACTTTTGCCTAATTATGGTCAAAACACGTAAAAATGTGTGCAAAACGACCCCTAAATACACCGGCATCACATCGTACGGTTGACATCATTTAACAATTATTATAAATTTAAATTAAGTTAATGTCATCTGCTGTTGTCGGTAAGTAAATGGTTGGATTTAACTTTATGTTTTTAATGTTTTAATGAAAACATCTAGTAAGACAGGAGAGTATTCTTTCAACTGATACACGCACACGGTGCAATTCATTCTCATTTATGCAAACACTCCCATACAATTTGACGAGGGGACTCCACATTTGCCTAATTGTGGTCAGAATACTTAAAAAATGTGTGCAAAACGACCCCTAAATATACAGGCATCACATCGTATGGTTGATTCTTGCACAAAACAACCATATTTTGGAAATATTGGAAATTGTTCTTGCCTTTTTATAAAAAGAATGACAACCAAACATTATTACGCAGATAAGGCTGGATTCGTGTGCAACGTAATGCGGTGGACCCGCAAGCATAAATGTCAATTGTGATGGTTTAACTTGACATATAACGCAATTTTCAATCAAGTACAACCTTTTCTTACTTTGACCGCAGACAATGTTTTTTATTTGGTGTCTGAAACGATATAATTATTATAGTATATAGCATTTTTACATCAAGGCATATGAGTTATACAAATATTCAGTCAAACATATGTCTATTGCGTTTTCGAGAGTATCATAATTATTATTAGTTAAAAAGATTTTTTGACAGGTTGTATGGCCAAATTTTAACGGTTGTTTGGAAATTTATAACCCGAGCTGCTAGGCATGGGTTATATTGCAAATAACTGTTTATATACGATCATATAACCCGTCAGGAATGTTTTTAACGAATTTATAATACAGCACACTTCCTTGTTAAAAACAATAAGAGGGACTTCTTCATCCATAAACATAAATCTTTATAATACTACACGTTTCTAACGTCGCTTTTCATTGGATAATCGTGACGTTTATATAGATCTATTATCAAATGCAAATCGACGTTGCACAAGTGCAGTATTATAAACACATATAGGCAGAATTAAAGATATTCAATATAATAATTTTATTCTATAATATTGACATGATTTTAGAAATGATAACAGAAACATTTCACGCGAAAAACAACTTAGAGGTCACCGATGTAATTTTCTGCCCTTTTTTATTAATTTGAGTTGTTTTAAGGGCAGATAACTGAATATGCAAACGGCTGAAAAATCTTTTCCCCTCTTGTTATGTTTTTCAGTATATCCTTGCATATTTAATAAAAAAAACCAAAAAATTCAATTCCATTTAATATTTCTGAAACCTTTCTTTCCAATTTCATAAGAGGTACTTTATATTCTTTAGAAGTATACCGCTTTTGAAACCATATACCATTTTTGAAACCATTTATCATCCATTAAATTAAATGAAAAGAGTCTTTGCTAACAACAAATACTAAAGACGATGTAAGCTAAAGAAACGAGGAAAATAGATCGTATCTACTTTTCGCATTATCCGCCTATGAAATAAGCATAACATAAAAAAAATTCAGGGCCAGACAAACATGAAAACGAGAACGGTGAATGTATTTCTCTCATTGAAAGTTTAGAGCGTTTTTTCTTCATTATGACTCCAGAATACGTCCTTAAGTTTAATCATTATACTCAGTATAAACATGTTATTTTTGTCTGTAAACTGCACTTATTTTTGATGTGATAAACAGAATATTATAATCGTATGTTTTTATCACTTAGTCTATTGAATTCGTTGGTTGGATAGCCGAGGTCAATATGACTTTCTGCCGGTGAATATCACATCATATTCAATGGCTCACAAGTCAATAATTGTTTTATTATATGAATAGGTCAAGAACAAAATCACAAAAAGTACAACCTTATATACATGCATAAAGTTTTGCCTCGATGAAGCGTGGGAAAAAAGACGCACATGTTAGGCGTGCAACGGCTACGCGAACGCTGCGCATTCAAAAATAATTCAGGTTTATTCTCATCATTGCGGTGTAGCCTTTAAGTATAATAGTAAAGTAATGATATTTTAATCGAGAAATATACCATAAAGAACAAAAAGCAACAATTATTTTTTTAATTATCACGCGTAATTTCAATTATGATCATTACATATGAGTCACAATCTATTTTTAGACTTGAAAAATCCAATTCAGACTGAATATGATACTACACCCAGTGAATATGATACGGGGGCAAGCGTGGCTAAGGTCGTTGACTTCAAACCACTTGCTCCTCACCGCTGTGGGTTCGAATCCCGACAGGGACTTTGGATTCTTTCATGTGAGGAAGCTATCCAGCTAGCTTACGGAACGTCGGTGGTTCTACTCAGGTGCCCGTTCGTGCCTGAAATAATGCACGGAAGGGCACCTGAAGTCTTCCTCCACAAGTAAAGCTGGAACGTCGCGATATGACTGATACTGTGTCGATGTGACGTAAAAGCCAATTAAAACAAAAAAGTGAATATGATTTTATAAAAAGTTCTGTTGACTACTGTTTGGACCAATAAGATTTCAGCTATATTTAGATCATATGATAATATGTTATATTATATTATTCCGTTCATTACTTCATGCATGGATACAATTGGTTTAACAGTTCTATGAAATCAATAAAGTGCCATCAGCAATAAATATTAATTGAATCGATTAACCATTATATAAGAGATAAAACAATCAATCTTTCGAAATTAAATGAGATAGGCGGCAACTATGCAATTAAATGAGCGAATTTTTTTCTGATCTTGCATGTGCATACAATATACATTTCAATTTTTAAAAAAGCTAAGAAATAAGTGTTTATATGTATTTTATTGTTAATTATTATTATGGTCTACCACTCAACCTAGTTGACTCAAGCTGTGTTTAGTACAAACCATGTTTCCTCATATGGTATTTGAGAAACTGATTAAAGATAGTTGCATGATGAAGAAATATTCAAAAATATTGAAAAGATGTCATAATACAATTCTGTTTTTACTTGGTATAAAGTTTTGTATTTCATTGTTTTTTCGTTTATTGCCATTCGAGTGGTTTGATATCTCTTTCCTACGACACAGTCAGTTATTTCAAACAAAAAACAAACTAATAAGGTACAGTTACGGATAAAATATCTGCTTAAAAGCGCATGACACAATCGGACCTTTTCTGCTATTATTTCATTTTAAAGTTCTTATCCAAAGACTGCCGAAAAGGGCGCAAGAAAGTATACATATCAAATTGTAAAGGCAGGCATGGCGCAGCGATTTCGTTATCCATCGAAATGACGAATGGAATAGTATTATGTTAACATAATCAAAAGAGATAAACTGAAGAAAGTAAATAAACTTTGAGAAACTGTTTTTATAAAGTAACGTTGCACCCTCAAGTTTGTTATAACGTGATAGCCAATCAGATGTAAGAAAATTACATTACATTAAAACCTTCTATACCCATGTATCAGGTTATATTTGTTCATTGTGATGAAAGTGTTAACGATGAATCAGAAATATCACATTACAACTTAAATTTACCTAGGTTTTTATAATTTCAGGGCATGCGAACCAGAGAGGGAAATATGTCGGCCAGTGACTGTATTGTCATCTTTATGTTAGTTGTTTCATGTCAAGGCCAGGGAGGTATTAAGATAACTTTTGAATATCTATTTTAAATCAACATTTTAATCTAGGGGCTACTTTTTCCTGTGAGGTGTACTTGTCAATCATATCACCGAATGATTAAGATAAACAATAAGTTATATAACATCTGCTTTTTTCACACCAAACTGTGAAGAGCAATATGCCGACTTTATAAAAATTTTGGTGGAAGTAGGTCAGACGTTCTGGTTCATTGTTTCAAGGGCCTAGAAACACGGATGTTGCCTATATGTTATTAGCTAGTTGTTAGCCATATTTATATCCTCCTGGTGGTATTTGAACCCACAGTAGTTAAGGGCAAATTATCGAAATTTAGCGCAGCCACTCCGTTTTTTTAGTACTAGCATTGGAAGTTATATCAAAACTAACACCATAATTATCACTAATATCATATCAAGTTATACTTGCATCATCATCATGATCATCATCGTCATCATAACATCAACAACGTCATCATCATCATCTTTTTCTTCTTCTTTTTCTTCTTCATCATCATCATCATTATCATTATCATCATCATCAATATCACCACCACCACAACCAAAACCACCACCAATTCATTCTCCTTTTTTGTCGTCGTCGTCATTGTGATTTCATTTTATATGTTTTTGATAATCCTTTTAATGAACAAGCTTATGCATTTACAAATATTTTGTAGGGTTCACGTATATTCAAATTTTTATCCGTTATCATTAAGATGTAATCACACATCGCTGTATTCAAATTGATAGACTCATGTATGTACCATTTATGTATTTCAATAGATTGAATATATTCAGTTTACATAGTTACTTGTTGTCGACCTCATGGAAGATATATTGTTGTTTAAATGAGAACTCCTATTAAATAAAATCTTTATTATTGCTTATCTAAGTCCATCAAAACATAGCTTCATAAATGAATATTATTACTTTTTGAGGAATGGTGACAGGTTATATGGTCAAGAACAAACTGCTGCTGCATCATCATGTAAAAATCACGCGTCGCAAGAATGTTATATAGCAAATAACTGTCTTTAAACATCAATGTAACCCGTAAAAGTTTATAAAATGCATTTCTAACACTGCATGCACCACAATTTAAACATAGATCATTTCATAACTTGTGTGTTAGGGGGGCTTCCATTGCTTTATGACTCCGTTCACTAGCCTCACAGTGTCTGTAGGTTCAATTACAGACGGGGTCTTTGATATATCGCAAAAGCGGAAAATATCTAGCTAGCATTCAATTTTCATTGATATAATTTTAATCGTTTTCAAGTTCCTGTCGTGAATTGTCAGTAAGCTTCCATCTCTCTTTATCATGCAATCAAGAAAGTGTAACGTTCATCGTATTATTTTTTTAGCTATTCTCAACAACAGTGTCCTGTGGGTAGCACGTGATGGTCATCTCTATTTTAGTACACGACTACAGGAGTGGACAGAGGCCAAAATCACCCCGCTGGAATTTGGGCAGGTAGGAGAATTACTCGGAATTTAATACTGATCATTTCTTTAACGAATATGCATATTGAGAAGAAATAACACTTCATATCACCACACACACTAGCAGACCGAGACAAAAAGTGATGATTGAGGCAGAAAATAGGTGGGTGTGGAGTAAAAGATTAGGGGTGGTTGAAGAAAAATGTTGAGGGTGGGTCACACTAAGGTAAAGCGGTAAAGCATCTAAATTTTAACAATATAATGCCATTTGCAGTATGATTTGAACTGAGGATAAACTTATATCGATTATATTTTTATTAAAATCTCTATTCTTAATATTATATCTGTTATTGTATTAACTATAACGATGCAGAACAGTGAATCATTTTGGCATTTCTGAATATATTTACTTTTTATGTGCAATGAGACCAGTTTTAAACAACCTGTCGATAACTTTTTCCTTGCAAATCGATGAACTACAAGCTGCATATGTAACATTCCAAGCGCAAAAAGTAGTTTCAACATTTGAATGGCATAATGCCTAAAACATATAAGATGCATTGAAATATATATAAAGAAGCTGGTGCAAGCTATAGAATGCTTTATACATTGGGTAAATTATCAAAAGAGTAAGCAAACATGATATAAAATGCTATTTTCTATATTTAAAAAGCGATAATAGATCGAAAGTTCAAAAGTCATTTTAATATGATGTTATGCTTTATATTCAAATAGTAATAAAAGATCGATTGATATGCTCTCATGATGACCTTTTCACTATGTGTAATTATTATCTGTCAAATAATGACTTTCTTTGAATGGCACTCCAGAAAGAGCGTGACACTGCATCAGTATTTTAGGGCTAAACAAAAATTTACAAAAATGTTTAATAGAAAATGTGAACGGTTCTATTGTGCCGATTTGAATGGAAATTTATTATTACATTTGTAATATTGTAAAATTATTGACTTAAGCCATTGAATATGATGTGATATTCACCGAAATATAATATATTCATCGAGACTAAAGCCGAGGTCAATATGTTATTTTGCGGTTGAATATCATGTCATATTCAATGGCTTGCTAGTAAATAATTGTTTTATTGTATGAATAGGCAAAGATAAAACACATACACACACACACACACGCACGCACGTGCGCGTGCACGCACACACACAATTATAAGGAAATACAAAACACAACTTTTGCTTGTTTTCATGGAAGTTAACGGTTCCAATTTTATCAGTGTGAATGGAAATTTAGTATCACATTCGTAATATATATGTTATTATAAAGCATATTTTATTGTGTTATTAAAATGCTTTTTGAAAGTTCGAGGAAAAGCACATTCAAGAGCAAAAGATGGTTATCGATATTTAACAGAAATTAAAAGAGTTCCATTTTGTACATTTGAATGGAAATTAAGTATCACATTCGTAACATATATAGTTATAAGTATATATTATTGTTTAATTAAAATGTCTATTGAACGTTCGAGGTGAAGCTAATTCAAGAGCAAAAGATGAATAACAGTGTCATTCGGTGACCACTGGGTGACTTTTTCTGTGAGAAACAATGTAAGATGCTTACTGTTTGTGAACGTTGTTGTCCCTTGTAATTCTGAACACCCAAACATACGAAATAAAATTCATCTGTAGTCCATTTGTCTTAGGAAACTTTTTTTATTGTATCATACAGTCAATTCACAGTGTTGACATTGAAGGCGCAAATCCAAGTCATGGCATTGCCGTGGATATACCAACTCGACATCTTGTTACCATTAACTCCGAAAAGGACTTTTATGCGATTGCACTCTTTGATCTTGAAGTTTATAGGATAACATACTTTCATGTAGGTATCTCTAAAGGTAAGGTTCCTATGATATTTTCAGTTAAAATTACAGAATTAGGCGTAAGTGTAAAATTGTATGTAAGTTGTATTTATCAAATTTATGTAAGACTTTAGAAAACATATGATTCGATATAAAAACCGTTGAAAAGCTACAAATACATGTTTTATATATTAAATATACTAGAGAATGCTCCAAATATGTACATGTCTCACGGCAAATTTGTGATCTTAAAGGCCCATTATGCCTCAGTAATGCTTTTTATTTCTCTATAGCATTGTGTTTTTGATGTACTTCTACAGTTTCAAAAACAGTTGCTCATTGGCCAATAATCTGTTTCTTCTGGTGCTTTTTATATTTTGTACAGTTATAGTGATTGTGTATTTTGTATGGAAGTCAAAATACTACTTTATTTACATTTTGCTACTTTTATGTCTAGTAATTACATAATTAGAGCTACTTTTCTCAGGTAAAAAAATGTCTAAAAAGCTTTAAAACCATTTTTTTAACGGTACACGTCTCATGTTTGACCGTTCTTTAGAAGTAAAAAATCATTTCTTTAGGCATAATGTGCCTTTGAGACAAATAGTATATATTCTAAAAGGTATAGCGTTGCTTTTATGTGTTTTACCTGTAGAGTCCAAACTTTCACAATATTTGAACATTTCTTTTTAAATTTCACGAACATGTACTTTGTAATGATTTCTATCAACACGGGATCAAAATCTTTATTCTATCTACTACATATAGAACAATAGAAACGTATGTTCAAAGGGTAAATTAATGTGAACATATTATTTTGAAATTTGATTTTTTAGTCTTTTATTGCAGACATTGGACATCTTGCGATAGACTGGTTAGGTCGGAACGTGTATTGGACGGACGCAGGTTTCGGTTGGATAGCTATGAAACATTTACCAGAGAACATTAATCAAATAAATTCAGCTGATCAAAATTTCAGGGTTGTTGTGGACGAGTTCATAGAGAAGCCTACAGGGATAGTTGTACACCCGGAAAGATAGTAATTGTTACATATCTAAACTTATATTACAGCGCTTTAACAGCGCTTTGTTTACAAGAATTCCGGATTATTCATATTCGGACACCCTATAAGAAGGCCTAAATTTGAAAGTTTCTGACAGTCAGTTTTGCAAAAAATAACCCCAATAGTCTTTATCTAACCATTTATTTAAATGCCGCGTTTGTCAAGTTATATAGAATACCTTGCTAGTGTCGGATATTACAATATTTATCAGACAAGGCTAAGAAAAAAAAGAAGGTCAAGTCTCAGCCAAACCTTTATTTGTCTCGTACCGAGCCTGATAAATTTTATAATATAAGACAGACACTTTTTTGGTATACTATTTATCATATTTGCACTTTTAATATGCGTTTTATTTTTAAATTTCAAATAAAATAAAAAAAAATATGCCAGGTCATGTTGCACGCAGTAATATGCCGAGGGTCATATCTTTAACATATAGCCCGAAATGTGTTTAGTCAATATATTCGTTTTAAATTTTATCAGTTTAATATTTAAAACTAGCAAGAGGTTAAATATTCCATTCTCTTTATTTTATTTCAATATGTATTGATGAGGTGTATGATTAAGCTGAGGGGGACTGAGAAAGCTAAATTTATCAGGTCATAATCTTATCAACAGAAATCAATGTAATCACGTGATAAAATGGAAATACTTATATCAATGTGTGTCAAATAGCTTTATGCATTCGAAGTAACGAATTTATTAGCTCCTATAAACTGAAACAATATTATTCTTAGGGATTAACATACTTCTTCAGAGAAAAAAAAGGAAATACTTTGAAATGGTTTACTTTAAGACTGAAATAGGGTTTTTTTTTTATTAATTTCATGGACATATTTTTCGATGTCAAATTGGGCTGAATTAGTAATATATACCGGAATATCAAGATCGGCTGTTATATAATGATTATTGTTTATTAATACCTATGCTTCTATTTATAGTAACAAAATCAAGGGTATTTCAGGGCCAAGATGGCTGCTGACGTTGAATGAATATAGTTACTTACCAATTGTTTTAAATAAATTAATCGATCACAATCAGCAAAGCTTAACATTGAGTATTTATAAACTCCAGACAATACACGACCCTCAGAAATTCCAAAATGATTATAGATTGACGGTAGGAAAAGATTAATCGTTCGCATTTAGACCTAGACATCAGAAACCGTTCTTGAAGGCACAAAACTTCATAAAATACTGGCACTATATCTTTATTAGAAATGCAATTCACACAAAAATGTAAAGAGTAGAGTATTTATCGGTAAAACAACAATAAAACAACATTCTCTTATATTCATTTAGTGTTGTCTCCATTCTCTAAGTTAATCGGAGTGTTAAACTGTATGACAGATATTTGTTTACATTGACAACTGTCCGTTTCTTAGAAAGGACGACAACCAAGATTAGCGACGATGTCTAAACGCCGTATTTCGGACATAGCATTTAAGACGTTAATCGAGTTCACAATGTTTAACGGTAGTTGTAGAAATTTACGTTGGTATGAAACAGCTCTAGGTCATTTGATTTGTACGACGGGGCTAATTCCCTGAATGTGATATAACAGATTACCGAGTGTTTTGATTTTGCTCTCTTTTGTATCACAGTCAAAAAATAAGATCACGTCCCTTTTTGTCATACTATGAAACCCCATATGAACGAGCATCTGAATATGACATTTCTTTCGTTATCTCGTTCTCTGTCGTCACATTAAGTACACCCCAGAAAAAATGAGTCATTCGGTGAGCATGCTATGGAGTGCGGATAACTTATACCTGTACCCAAGTTAACGCTCTGAACATGTATATGTATACAATTTAACTCTGACATAATTTCAACACAAAGGTCCCCAAACTATGATATACGTGAACAATTGATTTTGTTTTCATAGTAAAATATAAAATTTAACCCAATTATAGCAAAATATTTAGTTATCTTTATTTCTACATGTTCACTTACAAGTTACACTTTGATAAACATTATTTCATTTAAACCATTTTAATGAAGACTCCAAAGCATTTTACTACATTGCAAACATATATAGAAATGTATCCAAAGAAACTGTTTCAGCTTTTTGTTTTGGACTGACACCGGCCATACTCCAAAAATAGAAAGGTCTAATCTGATTGGTCAGGAAAGAAAAACAATCATTTGGCAGAGTATTATCACGCCTACAACGCTATGTATTGACCAATCAGCGGAAAGATTGTATTGGAGTGACCCAGAAAGAAGAACTATTGAATATTCAGATTTTGATGGAAATGGCAGACGAATACTTGTGTCGCATCCAGAACTAAACTACTATGGAATTGCAGTATTTCGGGTATCTAAAACGAAAAATTCTGAATACTTTATTCAAAGGCATCACTTGTAAATGAAGTCCTTATTTAAGATTTCGCTCCAATGTAAAACGAGGTTGACATTTTTGTGTAATTTTAAAAGAATATGGTAAATGTAGTGTTTACATTAATAACCACAAATATGAATAGTAAATACGATTGTTCTGTAAATCATTTCTTACAATATGAAAGTTACTGATCGGTCAATTGACGAATACGTGTTACATGATGCTGAAAGTCTTAATGTCGGATTGTTTTCTATACACACACAACTTTGTCTCAGCAATAAGTGTTGCTGCTTTGCATTTGACACAGAGCTTCTGTCCCAGTGGAGTGCTTTTGTGTTGTTTTTTTTTATAAAATCTAAAGCTATGGCAATATAAAGGGAGGGGAGAGTATCTTTGACAAAGTGCTTAAGGGCGTTGATTTTAAAATACTTGCCACCCACCGCTTTGGGTTCAACTCACTCCAGGAACGTTTGATTCCTTCATGTGAGGAAGCTATCTATTCAGTTCCGGGAGCTTCGTTGTTTTACTGTGATGTCCTTTAAAAGTAATGCTTAACATAGGTCATATGACTTTGATAGTATTGGTGCAACGTAAGCCTAACCCACCCTGACCTTTGTAGTATGTTTATATGATTAGAAAAGTCTAAACATGAAATATTTGAAGTTTCAGTCCGGCGTCTGTCAATCAACTCATCAATTCGGCTCATTTCTAAGCTCTTTCATCATTTATTATTTCAGGATTCACTCATATATACAGTGCCAAATTTTAATAGAACGGGGTACGTTTCGCTGAAAGAAAATAATGAAGGCGAACATATACAAGCCAGTATAGAAATTGAAAAGACCAAACTTTTCGATGTGATGGCATATGCATCAGAAATTCAGGAAGAACCGACAGATGGTAAAGTGAACTCTTATAATTGTTTTAAAAGATCTTTTTCTTACAAGTTCTAACGCCTTTTATCTCATACATATTTTATCTAACCAATCGTAATGCTAATACACCTTTTGACGTAAACACCACTTGACGTTTACACAATTTGACATAAACACCGCTTGACATATACACTACTTGACATATACAAAACTTGATATATACGATATATACACCACTTGACATATAGACCATTTGATTTATACGCCACTTGACGTATCCACCACATGACATATACACGACTTATTCACCACTTGAGATTTACACCCCTTGACATAAACTCCATATATATTGACATATCAATCAGTTGACGTATTCACCATTTGACATATACACCATTTGACATATACACCATTTGACATATACACCATTTGACATATACACCATTTGACATATACACCATTTCACATATACTCAACTTGAAGTATTCATCACTTGACATGTACACCACTAGACGTATAAACCATTTTACATATACCCCAATTGCTGTATACACAATTTGACATACGAGTATACACTACCCGACGTAAATACAACTGTATATATTACCACTTGACCTTTATGCCAATTGACACATTCAACAACAACCGGGGACAACTACAGTTGACAGAATGTCATTTATCACAGCGAGGCAATTGTGTAAGAACTTTCAACAACATAGTAAACATAAAATGTAATAAATGTAATATAAATTTAAAGTTACTTGCTTTTTTGTTTTTCAAAAGCATTGTGTAAGAAAGTAAATGAATGTGATCAAATATGTCTACATATGGAGATGGATGCTGGATTCACGTGCCTCTGTAGTGATGGTTATGACCTCATTTCCGGCCGTAATTGTACAGGTAATGTTTTCATTTTTCTTGTCATTCAGCATTTTTTTCTCCGGTGATTTGAAGAATTTGATACTGCTTGGTCTGCCAAAAGAAATTTGTGAAAAGAAGAGATCATTATACTGAGACTTGGTTTGATTAAGATTATTCATTGGCAATACGAAATTATCCAACATCCCCTACTCCTCCTAGCATTAATTTAAGCAGTATTAAATTTTCAGCACTTAACCTTTCACTATAATGGTCTTGGCGGAAAGGAAAGATAAAATTACACCGAGAGTGTGAGAGATGTTGTTTTCATCGTTGTTCCCCACAAGGAGAATCTTACCCCTTGTTAACACAAGTTTGATGCCATTGTTTTCGATGGATCTCCTTTATTATGCATTGTTACCATCATCCTTGGAAGAGAAAAAATGACTTGCACTACCCAATTGTCGATGCCATTTTACATATTTACAGATTCATCTGACAATGCTCATTTACCTAATTGTAAAATTTGCTTATATAAGTGGTTACTTCAGGTATTGTTTTAATCTGTCATTCTTAGCCATTCTTAGTTTTGTTCCCCGCTGTACATAATTCATACCGAGAAGGTATTGTAAAGAAAACAATATTACGGATAATCCAACACAAGTATGTAGCTCAGTGGATTCTGACATTAATTAATACATTTTTGTTCCCTAAAATTTCATGCGTTTATCTTTTTTGTCTATTTTTATCTATTATTAATATTATAATTAGGTTCTTTAATATTTGCAAGTCAAGGTTTTGAACTATTTATTTTAAAGAAACATAATCTGCAAAATTGTAATACATGCACTAAGAAAATTGCTGTTATATTTCATTTTCTTTTACTTTCGCAATAAAAAAAAGATATTTATAAAACAGTCTAAGGAATGAAGTTGGCAATATTCTAAATCAAACAAAAACTTTGTTACCCCAAGACATAACTTAATTATAAAAATAAATGTGTCAAATGTTAATTCTGCAAATGATCTTACTATGATTGACACTATCAATATTGGTGTCAGACACTTTCTCATTGTTATCTTTTGTGATGCAATTTTGTTGTTGTTTTCAGTTGATGAAAAAGTGTTGGAGAGACATATTTTGTTTACAAATGACAAAAGCATATGCGCCGTTCCTGTATCTGTACTTAGCCTTGGGAGCTCTGTTGCAGCTATCTTTTCTATACATTGTGATCTGGTGCAAAGTGATAGCTACGTTACTAGGTGTACCTGAATTAACTTTATTATAATTTAATATTTAAGATTCCTTTAATGAACGTAGATGTTATTGCTGATCAATAAAATTGTTTTTTCTTCGGAATTTTAATATTTTAGGTTATCATAAAACCTTACAATGATAAACATCTCTAATGGACTTGGTCATCATTCAATATCGACAAAACCATTTTATATTTAGGGAAAGTTTTAAAATATGTAGTGTCAGAATGGCGAACACTGCAAATAATGGTCATGGAAATGCCGGCTTGTCTTGGTATGCCCTAATCACATCGGTAGAATATGTTGCAGCCAGCAGGCTTAACGGAAATGACAATTATTCATCTCACGTGGTAGATATACATACCAATGTTTGCTCACATTTTTTTGTATAACAATACAAATATAATAACAACTTATAATTTCTGTTTATCTTCAAGGTTTGCCGTAAACATGAGGACAAAAATGGTATTTTATACAAATGATTCAACAATATTTAAACAGCCCGCATTCAAAGAAGATCAAAGAGAAGTGCTTTACGAATCTGCTGGTATAATTATAGGTACATGGTTCAATTATAATTTTTACTGATTATCATGAAAATTTACTTAATTCTTTTAAAACATTTGTATCTTATAGTGATTATTTTGATACTAAAATATTAAAAAAAAAATACAAACCTTAAATCAGTTTTGAGTTCTTGTTATATTATTAGGTCTCTTATTACGACACCACTTCTACGTTTCAAACAATATACGAAAATATATTGATAAAAAAGGCAGTCTGCAAAATGATAGTTTTACCTTTTGCTGAAACTCATAAAGTTTATGTTCATTCGAGTGCTAAATAATAAAGTAATGATTATTCTTTGAATTGTTCATCAGTTTGTCCAATTCTTCGGAAACTGAAATGATGAAAATTATATATTAGAATGAACAATATTTGGAATAGAATTACTTTATAATATTATTATAGAATGTATAACACACCAAAAGTTACCTGATATTTTGTCTTTCATACACTAGAATGTAATTCAAAAGCAATGCTTTCATTTTAATTTCTGTAATTCCATTCTACCCCATATACATTGAAAACATTTCCATATTAATTCACAGACTGATTGAAAACGTACCATAACAAGAAAAATATTACATACATTCGTATGTAATAAAGGTACGATTGCATACTTCTTTCGATGAAGAATTTTTATGATTGCTGCATGAAAGGTGTAATGTAAAATGAACAAATGTCATGAGATATTTTATATCTTTAAACATTTTCATGGAATGTATCATCATTTTTAAGTTGCATGCCTTCATATAAGAAAAATTAATTCACGGAAATCAAAATATAAAAAGAATATTCACGTTTAAGCATAATCACAAAATAAAATTACAGGAAATTAAAAAACCTTTTTAATACACTAAAGGTATAATTTCATTGTAAATCATAGTCGCAGAGTTTTCAGATATGATTATTTATTCATATTAACATTATTATTGGTTGATGGAAATAAGAGGAAAAACTATTTCTTATGCAAGTTTTAAGTAGAAGAAAACCAAATCTAGAGAGGATGATTTAATATCACAGAATACAGATTTAGAAAAAAATTCAAATGATGCTGGAAATGTTAGATTATTAAGCTTGCAAAAAGAATTGGAAACTATAAGACAAGACAAAATTAAAGGTAATTTCATACGCTCTAGAGCAGAATGGATTGATAATGGTGAAACACCAACTAAATACTTTTGTTATGTGGAAAAATATAACTATACTTCAAAAATCATTCCTTTTTTGGAAAAAACTAATGGTACCATTATATATGAGTAGTCAGAAATTTTAAAAGAAAGTGAAATATTTTATGAAACACTCTACACAAAAACTGATTCCCCTGATGATTTTAATATGGAAGAGTTCTTAGGCAACATATCTGTCCCAAAATTGAGCAGAAATCAAGCAGATTCGCTAGAAGGTCTCTTTACCTTTGAGGAAATTTCAGAAACACTTGAGAATATGAAAAATGACAAAAGCCCAGGGTCTGATGGTTTTACATCATTTTTTAAAAGTTTTCTGGAAACAAATTGGACATTTTGTTGTCAGAAGTATTAATTATTCTTTTATTAAAGGTGAATTATCACTTACCCAAAGGCAAGGTATAATTACCTGTATCCCGAAAGAAGACCAACCAAAACAGTATTTAAAAAACTGGCGACCAATAACTTTATTGAATTATACTTTAAGACTAGCCTCAGGTACATTAGCCAAAGACTTAGGCCGTGTCTACACCTATTCAAGTTTCTTACATGTCACATTTAGATAAGCTAAATAAATGGCCCTTTCAATATTTTATCAGGCACAATTTTTACTTGAATGTCTAATTAAGATTGCCCAGGATTTATACCTTTGTGTTTGCAAAACTATCATGTTTCTGTAAAATATGTGAATAAAAAGCGGGAAAATGATGCAATTAGCTAAAAACAATGGAGTTGTGTACATTCTTTTAAAATAATGGAAAATGTGAGAAAATATTTTTTGAGCTAATAAATTGATGCAAATTCTTTATTTGATGAAAGTTATTCACTAAATGAACAAGATCATTTAAAATCCATTTTGACTACTTAAAAAAAATTGATTTTTTTTTCATTATATTTTTTTTGCTCGTATTGATCTGTTCCTCTCAAGACCAATATATTGTTTACATTTACTAAAATTTACAGATCATGAACACTGAATCAGTAACGAAAAAGTCAGAAATAATAAAAAAACAACACTATCACACCTTCTGGGCACATGTTTTGTGTCAAACCGGTGTTATCAGTGTCTTGACAGCCAAAAACTTGTAGAAAAATAGAACGTGTTCTAACTTTCTTGCAAGGAATTATCTTCTTGGATGTCACATAATTTCTCTTTAAAACTCATTCAAGTAGGGTGTCTACACTATCCAATACAAGAGAATATGATACTTGCATTCAAGACTTGGATAGGTGTAGACGGGCACTTAAGCCAGTTTTAAATTGTTTGATAGAATCAGACCAAACAGGATTTCTAAAAGGAAGATTTATCGGAGAGAATATACGATTAGTCTACGATGTAATGAATTATTTAGAAGAAAAATGAATGCCAGGACTATCAGTAATGATTGACTTTAAAAAAGCATTTGATACACTTTCTTCTGATTTTATAAATAAGACTTTTGAATTCTTTAATTTTGGCCCAATGTTTTTTTATACAAATACTGAAACTGCTGTTCAAATGAATGGATTTTTGTCCAACTTTTTTAAAATAGGGCGTGGTCGTCATCAAGGAGACCAAATCAGTCCTTATATTTTTATCTAATGTGCCGAAAAATTAGCCATAAAAATAAGAACTAATAAAAATATAAAAGGTATACATATCAACGGAACAGAATATAAGATTTCACAGTATGCTGATGATACTTCTTTATTGTTAGATGGATCTGAGCAGTCTTTAAATTGTACGCTTAATATTTTACATGATTTTTCTATTATTTCTGGATTAAGTGTTAACTTTGAAAAAAAAAACCCATGTAATATGGATTGGCTCTTTAAAATATAGCATTAGATCAATAAAAACTAGGTGGAAATTAATTTGGGGTAGTACATCATTTAGATTACTTGGTATTAACTTTCAAGTTGATTTACAAAAAATGATAGCATTGAATTATACTGAAAAAATTGAAAATATCAAAAAATATATCCAGTGTTGGAAAAGAAGGGCTTTAACACCTATTGGTAGAATAACTGTTGTAAAGTAACTGTTACTTCCTTTATTAACTAACTTGTTTATGTCACTTCCAAATCCTAATTTTCAGATGTTAAAGGAAATAAATTATATGTTTTATGATTTTGTATGGCAGGGTCCACCAAATATTAAATCTTCTGTATTGGTGAAGGAATATGTAAATGGTGGTCTAAAAATGATTGATGTATGTGCTTACATGAAAAGATTAAAACTTTCGTGGTTAAGAAGAATTGTATCATCTGAATGTGATAAATGTTAGATAACTTTTTAGATATTAAGAAGCTGTTTAATTGTCGAAAGTTATATACAGCATATATATATATGATATTTTGAAAAAATCATTTTGGAAAGAGGGTTTAGGTGCTTATGTAGAATTTGTAGAAAAAATACCGATTATTTCTATGGAAATGTTGTTAGAAATGCCTCTGTTCTATAACCAATATATTTTGATGGATATAAAACCTATTTTCATAAAAACATGGTATGATAAAGGTATAAGGTTTATCAAAGATATTATGAATGTGAATGGTACTTTCCTTGAAAGGAATGAATTGGAAGCAAGATTTGGTGTTAAAGTAAACTTCATTTACTATGAATTAATTACCAGTGCTGTCAAGACATACAGAAGTATATTAAGTTTAAAGTTATGTGATAATTATGAAATTGCTTCCTTTTCTCCCATTATATGTTGTTATCTAAAGCCTATACTACTTTATGTTAAAGGTACATCAGACATGTACAATATATACATAAAAATGATGATATTCCAACTTGTCAGACTAAATGGAACACTTGCTTTCAATTAAGTCAATCGGACTGGAATAAAATACATAGTTGGGTTTTTGACATTACCAATGATTCTTACTTGCAATTGTTTCAGACAAGTCTAACACATAGAATATTAGCTACTAATTATCTTCTTTTGAAAATGAATTTATCAGTTACAAGTATGTGTATTTTTTGTAAATCAGAACATGAAACATTGTTACACCTATTTTGGGAATGCTCATTTGTAAAAATATTGATTACAGAAATTACTTAAATTGTTAGGAATCATGATGCTATTTGATATTGATTGTCAAACTTTTTATATTAGGTAATACAAAATAGAGCCAGTCAAAGTACAATATCCTATGTCTAGAGATAACGAAATATGTTTATTTATGTAGTTTACCAAATATAGATGGATTAGTTATAAATTAGCCTCTTTAATTATTGATGCATGTGCAACAAATACAAAAGATAACATAATGAATTGGACAATGGTTCAAAAAATCATTTAATTCTTTTTACAGTAATGTAAATTTATAATTTATCAATATACAGCCATTGTTGTTTGTTAAAAGTTTGAGTATAAGAAACAACTACGTAATGTTTTTTTCTGTTCAATGTATGAGCTACCTAAACTTTTTAATCTTCTTTTATTTCCCCCTGTGATTTTGTTTGTATATTATGTTGTGTATGTACATGTGTATATATTATTGTGGAAATGTGAAATTGTGATAAATACTCAATGACAATAATTGTTACTTAATCAACAAATATTTGATACATGTATATATATATATATATATATGATAAATAAAATCTTTGTAAGGTATGGAGGGGGGTGCCCTTGACCCCCACATACCCATGACGAGGGAAATAAAGTTATCTTTAAAAAAAAACATTATTATTGATTATCGATTGATAAAAAAACGAAAGACACAGTTTGTAAATATTTATTACAATAAAATATGAAAAAAGGTATTTTCCATCCTATGCGCGCCGAGGTTAGCTATATGTATAATTCCCGCGCTAAGTCGCGGTGGCGCTTGGGATAATCACTTAAATGGCAGCCATTTTACGATACGAAAATGCCTGGCACTCCTCGGACAGTTTATCCTGCCGAAAAGATATGAAAAAATACTTGCAATTCAAAGATTGTTTGCTACATAAATCTTTGCAAACTTTTTCTCTGCCTGACTGTAATAATATTGATGTTTTTCATTGGCTTAAACCATCACGTTATCAATACACATGTACGAGAAGGTGTGAACTAATTTCATGTTCGTTATAATTATGCCGTTAATAGACATATATTTATTTACAAATAAATTGATATTATTAAACAACAATCCCATAAGCATTTAAGATAATAACAATCATTGGAAAATAATAAATGCATATAAATTGTAAATTTGTGCATTTAACACAACATGATAGACTCAACCAAAACAAGCGTCTGCTTCCTAACCTAATCATGTAGTTGCATGACCATGATTAGCAAACAAAATTTAAGAGCTAAACCTATTGTAAAAATAATACTATGACCAGAGCAGATTTCGTACAGAAAATGTAACTGAAATACATGTATCGTTTCTTTTTCAAAATAGATATGGATGTTGACTGGATAAGTGGGTTGCTATATTGGATAGAGAAAGACAACGGTCATCTCTATTATGTTCATGAAAGTGGTCCGGAAGTTTTTGACGAACAATTAACAGATTCAGATATCACTAATATAGCTGTTGATCCACACAATAAGTAAAGGATTTTATCAACTGTCTTTGTTAGCAGTTACAAGATAAACAACTTACAAATGAAACAAATAAACAAACATATAATTATGAAAAATTAAGAATGTGGTATCTCATGTTATCTCATTAAAATACATATTCAATTTAAGTCTTTAAAGAAGACTACCTTTTACCTTTGTTATTTTTTTTAAATTCATTATACTGTAAAAGCATCTGACCTTAATGTTTCACATTGTACTTCATCATTGTTGTGTCACGTTCAAGATTAGGTATCGCTTTGAAGACTGAATACCGCTTAAGTCGATAGTAGGCGTTTGAACTTTGCATATCTCTCATAAACAGACTCAATTAAACCAAGTTTTTTTTATTTTTTTTAAGAGATTTGTCTTTTCTTCAAGTTTTCAGATAAATGTTGGTCATCGTCCATTGCTGAAAAATTACAAGTTAATCTATTAAATATTTCAGAAAAGTTTATTGGATTTCGAGCGTTTTAGAAGGCACGGAAAACAAATATGTTCTGAGTGCATGGAGTATGAAAACAAAGACAACAGAAATAATACCGACATTATTGCTTTCCAAACCGTCTGACTTAGAGTATGACAGACTTAAAGACAGGTAGTTCTTTTTATATGTAATATATACATATTGTTCTTTAGACTTTGAACGACAAAAATGACATAAGTGACATGTAATATTTTACATATAGATAAATTAATTGTTTTTTTCTTTATCTCATCACCGGAAACAAACTGAATTGTATTGCTTGAAGGAGCTCAACCAATGTCCAATCGCCTTGAAGCATTGAAATAGTACTCGTTACATAGTTTTAACATGACAAAGAAAGAATGATATTGATTTAATCTCCCTATACAAAATGTCTGAGACTTCAAGCAAAATTTGAAATCGTTGTCATTGAAGAACATTAGAAAAATGTTTGAAGCCCTTGATGCCTATCTATCCAAATACAATGTCTCGAAAAAAATTATATAAACTTGGTAGCATGTGGGTAAAGTTATTAGTGATCTAGTTGTGTTAAAGATTGTTGTGGAATGACAATGATGGACATATAGGAATGATAAATACTGACGGAACCGGCGAGAGAAAATATGACACTGCAACCACAGGGGAACCACGACATGCCGTTACAGTTTATAAGGTAAAGATCATTTTCGTATAATGTTGATCAGTTTATCTTCCGTGTGTTATACTTATGACTGAACGTCATAATTGTTACCGTCACTCCCACATTTGATCTAACTACAGTAGACTCCCTACTTAAGACCACCCAGGAATTAAGACCACCCTGCTACTAAGATCATTTTTTTAAAATAACAAAAAATATTCTATTCTTTATGTCATTGGTAACATGCTCCAGAATAAAGACCACCCCGCTTATCCACTTTTATGACCACCAGATTTGGTTCAGATATTTTGTTGTTACAGTATTCTTTATTTGAACCCATTATTGAGACCACTGCTGTTAAAGACACCTAATCAGATCACAAATTTGTTGTTATTATCTGCTCAAATGCTCTTATGCAAGACACTTGATTTCACAAGGTGTCAACAAAACTGTAATTATTGGGTTATTGTATTGAAATAATGTGTGAAAGTAAATTTTACAGTCACTGTGGTTTACTTTTGCTTTCAGAACATTTATTTTGTGAAGAATTAATTTCTTATATTATGGGGTAATAATCTACATCATATAATACTTAATATTAAAATCAGACCAAAGAGAGTCTAATATTAAATTTCTTCAGAAAAATGTTTTGCTCTCATCAGATTACATATTATAATATCCTTTTATATTGCATTTGTAGGTTAACATACATATTGTTTGTTCATACAAAATAGACAATAAAGTATGTAAGCAATGACAAGAAAAACCACAATTAAGACCACCCCGAAATTAAAACCACTTTTGTCTTATCTCGATGTTGGTCTTAATTTTTTTTACTGTACTGCCCTTCTAGGTGTTGCTTCTGACACAATACTTATATAACTTTCTAAAGTAAGTGAATAATAAATTCAAATAATTTAATTCAATTTAAAATGAAACAATTTTATTCAATTGGCGATTCTTACAACAAAACAAAAAAATAACAAACAAGAAAAACAACAAAATTTAGTATCAACACAGGCACAATAATATATTGTCTGAAATATTTTACTGACGATATATATAGATTATGTCTAATCGAATCATGCATCTCACACATTCCAGAAACATTAATGAACATGCACATTTCTTAAATGATTCGTTGTCACATATGATACATTTCATTATTTATAATTATATGATTTTACAGTGCATTCATCATTGACCAGTTAACACTAATGCATATATTTCAGAATTTCATTATATCGTCAACAGGAGAAAACAGGCAGTTTGATATAGTCTACGAACTAGATAAACAAAGGTTAAGTGTGAATTTACACAAAGGGTATGACGGATTTGTTGAAGATGTACATGTTTATGAAAAAGCATTGCAACCATTTGATCTTGGTATGGTCGTATATTATCTCGTAATTATCTTATCCATATAAAAGTTTTCACAGTCATAATCAGCTTATATCTTAGGAAAAGCATAAAAGTCTTTTTCATTTGACGTTTGTATGTAGAAATTGTGTTTCTGCTTTTTGCGTTTCCCTCTCCTCCTTTCGCCGCCGAAATTGAGTTTCTTCTTATTACCTTTTTATCTCCTGTCGCCTCCTTTGTGCTTTCAACCAGTTCTTGTTTGGTGCCCTGCTGTTGTAGCTGGGTGTGTGTCGGAGACTGCGTCCTGTGAACGTTTGCCTTAGCCTATTTGTCTTCATTCTCATTATTTTATGATAGATTCTAAAAACTGCTGGGATTAGTTTGTCAAAGTCACATCTCTCCTCAATTAACGGCAAAAATTATAGCAGTGGGCCGGTAAAAATATCAAATGTAAAAACTGACAATTAAATTCTCTTCTGATTTTCACAGAGTCGTGCGAAGTAAACAATGGGGATTGTGAACATGTATGTCGAAAAGGGAGTGAAAGAAAATGTGCTTGTTTTCTTGGATATGTTCTTAACGATGACAACAAGTCATGTCGGTCAGGTAAAGAACTTATGATTCTAGTTTAGTTGTACCTTTTGCGCCTATTAGAGTATACGGCAACAGTTCTGCTATACATTGAGACAGAAAGCAAAAATATAATTACGCATGAAGGACGGTAAAAAAAGATGGATTGTTCCTTAAACTTGGCTTGCACTTTGTCCCATATGATATTCCTAATTAATTTTTGTGATTTACAAACTTGAAAAACATTTTCTGTATTTTGTTCGCAGCTGTTCTGAATGAGAAGTATTTTGTTGTACTGGACGCAGTTCATAAAGCGCTGTACCAGGTTGACCAGGAAACAAAAGCTATACATACCATTACAATCAGACAAGACAATGTTCCTGTTGGATTAGCGTTCGATCCCAAAAGGAAAGGCGTTATATGGGTTGATAAAAAAACTAACTCAGTGAAAAAGATAACATTAGGATCATCTGACGAGACAGCAGTGATGTCTGGTGCGAATCATTTTTATATGTTCATTAAATTGTTTTTAGGAAAGTATTTCGATTTATAGAAAATGTCACAGGTTTAACAAATAAATTATTTCACATTTCGTGTGCATGAATCACTGCGCTGTTACTTTGACGGATTATTTGTAGTCGTGAGAGGGTTTCCTTACCTACCATTTTGTTCCTGCACCCTTTGGCAATTTGCCTATATTCTCTTTTCCTATAATAATATTTAAACTAAAGTTCCCCTTGGTTAGTAATTGGTCCCTCGTTCTCTAAATCCCTGCCATTTTAGTGCCCATTGGAAGTGTTCATAACTAACAGTGGTGGTGTTTATTGGTAGTTTTCACTCCGGATCACGGCACTAAGCCACTTGAACTTACCAGAGCACAGTTTCGCCTCCGCCTCGTTCCTGAGCAGACTGTCAAGCAGTTTACAGTATTAGATACCTTCACTTTTGCAAGGAACTGAATCTTCTGTATATACCATAGCAGATGCACAGTGCAAATGACCGTAGAAAAGATTTCATAATCTTATCACAACGAAATGTGTCCTGCACCGCCCGTGAATCGAACCCGGCTCCCCGATTTCCATTCCGACGCTCTACCTATTGAGCTAACCGGATGGCATTTTGCGAACAGTGCTCTGCCTTGTTAATTTTTACTCTCAATTTTGGTAATTTATATTTTTTTCTCTCAAGCAAATAATTATGTCAGGGCTTATGAATATATATAAGTAATGTACCAATTTAAAAAAAAGAGAAAGTCAGCAATATAAATTCATTTATTTACCACTATTCTCCCTATGCCTAGTCAGCAAACACTTTAACTTGAAATAATTCTGGTCGTTTCGCTGTTTCTTTTTTTATGGTATGATATACTTTAATAACACGTTGTTTTACAATTACAGGTGTTGATAATAATGCGGATATAGCAGTAGATGTATCTTCTGGAAACATATATATCTCATCTGGACGGAACCCAGCAAACACATGACGTTAAAATAACGTCGGATTAATGTTAGATTTTGGTCACGACGTCGGCGACCAAAATACAACGTAAATCTGACGTTAAAATACCGATGTCTAATAGACGTTTCTTTTTGACGTCGTACTAACGTTAGGTTCTGGTCGGTGTCCTGACGGTAGGTAAAAAAATAACAAAAAATAATCCTTATTCGCTGTTGTAATCATTTAAACTTTTTTTTCAAATGTTATTTGGATTACAAATGAAGTGTTCTTATATAAATACAGACCAAGATCGCGGCGCTGCAACCTAATAAAACATATAGGTGGCGCTGTATATAGGCAAGTTACATGTGTTATTGTTATGAAATCTATTTATAGCCACAGATCTGTTTACAAGTTCCAATCATTTAACGTTATAATATTATCATTTGTGGTACATTATATGTATCAAAATCACGAGTTTTTTAATAGTGCTTTAACATTTAATCATAGTGACAGAAAGGGGAAAGAAAACATAATTAACCTATTATTCGAATCTAAAGTCACGTGGATGGAAATTCAAATTCGTAGGCGTTACGTTTTGGCTGTCGGTCAGGAATCGGGATGCATTGATAAAGTGAATATAATAGATTTTCTTGCACAAAAAGGTCAGTTCAATTTATTTAGATTTATTTTTACTTTGTATCTGATAAATAATTGCATGATTGCAAGCACTCTTAAATTTAATTATCATTATTTGAACAGCTGAAGTAAATGTCACACAAATTCGCGATAATGTCTAATAATAAATCTTTTTAAAATTGACATGTTTTAACTCTGCTTGTGAAGAGTTTATAATATGCCTTTCAGTACTACCATAGAGAATGCTTAGTTTTCATATTTTTTTTAAACTGTGATGTTTTTGTCAGTTAAAATCTGAGAATTGAGAATGAATTTGTACGATTTCGAGCATTTCGGACCAAGACGTTTCGGTCCCAAATAACCCAAAACGTTCCGGTCCCAAATAACCCAAGACGTTTTGGTTCCAAACATTTCGGCATTAAATCTTTAGTTTAAAACTATGAAATATTTAAGACTTGCGTAACTGTTCTATTTCAAACGTAGAATATATACATAAGTTAGAATATAACTTTCTTTTCAGGTAGTTCATGCTCTCAAAGGTCGGAGGGACGGAAACACGTGAATATGTAAAAAGAAACATAGGAAAGTAAGATTTTTGTAAATTCTATTACATACTTTAATCCATACTAAACTGGAGTTTAAAAGCGGCTTATTAAATGTTCAGTATTTACGTTTACTTTTAATTTTTGTTAAAGCTCTCTTATAAAAAGTTGGCAAAATTGTTCATTAAGTTAATTAAGATAACCATGAAAACATTTAACTTGTTATTTTTCCATGTTTCATTTTTTTTTCAGTGAAAATGATGTCAACCCTATTGGACGCTACAAACGCTACATATACTCCGGACAGACGAGGGGTGCTGAAAGAAGATCATATCTTAAAGCATCACACCTCAAAATTCGTGCTAATTCTCATGGATATCTAAAAGTATAACTTTGTGAAGTAACTAAAAGGCAGCAATTTATACATTACTGACAATTATCAAAGGAGGTCAAAATATGCGAAATGGCACTAAATGTTTTAGAAATGCTGTAGAAATATAGTTAAAATACTGAAAATCTGTCATTAATTGCTTGAAACATTATTATCAGAATCTTTTAAATTTTCTTAAAATTATAATATTTTCATTATTTTATATGATAAGGCAAACTTTGATAGAAATGTGCATACATTGTTTTGTTCTTTAATATGTGTACATGTTTTCTTAGTTTCATTTATGTCATTGTTTTTGTAATACTTTTTGTTTTGTAATTAACTTATTTTATGTTTTATTTTGTTTAATTTATGAAAATTATTTAACCTTGCAGAATTTACAAAAATTGTATGTATCAGCTTAAAATTGCAACTTTTATTTTAAATTAAAAAAGCATAAAACATAATTTTGCTTTTAGTTTTCTGTTAAACATTTCATTGGAGGGAAAGTTACTTAATAGAATGAGTTACATTAAATTCGATCAAATCACGATTAGCCAGAAAATATTTATGACGTGGTGAAACAAATAAGATTAGGGGAATGATCAGATGAAGGTCAGAAAATGATCAGATTTAGGGCAGGAAAGGGTTAATATTTAGGTCGGAAAATGGTCAGATTGAGGTCGAAAAATGGTTAGAAACTGGTTAGGTTTAGGTCGGAAAATGGTCAGATTGAGGTCGGAAAATGGTCAGATTGAGGTCGGAAAATGGTTAGATAATGGTCAGATTTTGGTCAGAAAAAGGTTAAATAATGGTTAGATTCTGACGTCTACCTGACGTCAGATTATAACGTCAAAAAAACTTTCAAATCCAACCGTTTTTCCGACCGTCATCCGACGTCAGAACCTGACTTAAATCTGACGTCAGTATGACGTCTTGTGTTTGCTGGGAACATATCCGTAATCAGACATTCTTTTCATTTACTGACGATAGTTGATTCAACAAATATAATTGCAAACATTGGAAAAATTGCTGTAATGCCTCAATCTGGGTAATCAATTTTTTTACTTTTAAGCAGTTTAATTTTAACACTTTATTCTCCCAAGAAACAATACAAAAATTATTTAAACTATTGGTTTGGAATTTTCTAGTTTTTACCACGTCTTTCTTTCATTTCTAAGGTTGATTATTATTCTGTGACCCTAGGCTTGATTTTCGAAGACAATCATAAGATTTTACATGGAGGCTATGTGTCATTAAATATTGAATGAAATATAAAAACTAATCCGTATCCTATTCAAAAATACCATTGAGTTAAAAATAAATGGATCAGGTGCAGGATGACTTATTGAACAAAGATTTTCGCGTATATGAATGCAGACCGACCTATTCTATAGACGAGGAAAAACAGTTTATGAAACGTTAAGTCTTTCTGAATCTTGTCCGACATACGTTTATATTTTTTCTGAATCTTGTCTAAGACGGTACTGGGATCCTAAATATTAACCGGACAATCAGTTTACCGGACAAAAGCTATTACTGCTGAATAGTGCTTTACTGTTTGCTTCGATTAAAAAAATCATACAGTATGAATCGTACACACACTATCTATTTCAAAGTAAATAACAACAAAACTACTCTCAGGTAAATATTGTTGATTCAGTTTCTTTATCTACTAACATGCCCTTTTGTTTACTAGTTATTT